GAGGGCTTGGACCAGGACTCTGAATGGATGCTCGTCTGTGCCACTGATTTCCCATGTGACCTCTCGGTGAGCAACTCACTGGTCCCATTGTCTAAAATGGAATACTGTGTCCGGTTCTGGGCTCCCTTGTTCAAGAAAGATGAGGAACTCCTAGAGAGAGTTCAGAGGAGAGCAACAAGGATGATAAAGGGACTGGAGCATCTCCCCTATGAGGAAAGGCTGAGAGAGCTGGGCTTGTTCAGCCTGAAGAAGAGAAGACTGAGAGGGGACCTCATCAACACATACAAATATCTTAAGGGTGGATGTCACGAGGACGGAGCCAGACTCTTCTCAGCAGTGTCCAGCGACAGGACAAGGGGCAATGGGCACAAACTGAAACATAAGAGGTTCCAGTTGAATATGAGGAAAAACTTCTTTACTTTGAGGGTGACAGAGCACTGGAACAGGCTGCCCAGGGGGGTTGTGGAGTCTCCTTCTCTGGAGATATTCAAAGCCCACCTGGACGAAGTCCTGTGCAACATGCTCTATGTGAACCTGCTTTAGCAGGGGGGTTGGACTAGATGATCTCCTGAGGTCCCTTCCAACCCTTGCCATTCTGTGATTCTGTGAAAATGGGAATAATGGTATTTTTTGCTGTCTCAAGAAGACTTGCAAAGGTCTGGCTCCCCTTGCCTTGGGTCCCTGCAGGTTGCAGAAGCAGTTGCACCCTGAGGTGCAAGGATGAAGGCAGGATGAGAGGTAAAATGAAGTGAAGCACACTGAGAACAGGTGGAAAAAGACGGGTGCAGTGAATGGGAGGAGGGAGGAGAGGAAAAGGTGACAGACGAAGCTTCAAAAGCCATGAAAGGAACTGTTAAAACAGCTACAGATTACCTTGCATGGGGTTTAATGAAATTTTTAATGCTGAGGTGCTTGCAAGGGAGAGGTGCCTGCTAGAGCAGCAGTCTCTCTGTAAAAGTGCTGTTTGCTCAGTCAAGAAGTGTTTGCCCTTGGCAGGTGTGCAGACTTGGCTCCCTCAGGGAGGGCTGGTCCGGTGCGCAAGAAAGGAGGGAAGCCTGCTCTCCACCCTGTCCGCTGCACAGAAAAGCAGAGGCTTCCTCCCCAGAACCCAGGAGCCGCTGAGCTGTGCTCCCCTGGCAAGCCTGGTGGGAGTGGAGGCTGAGGTACTCCCTGATGCCATTAGAGGAGAGGTCTGGGCTGCCTCTCCCACAGGGAGCAGCAGGAAGGGATGTAAAGTCTGGGGACCTTGGGCTGGTCTGCTGCAATGGTGGGGGGAATGCCCAGCATCCTCCTCTCAGTTTCCTAAGCTGTCGGATCCAGGTATTTGGGGACGGAACTTCTGCCCTCCCAGTCTTATTTCCTGCTCCCCGTGAGGAACTGCTAAGGTTAGTAGTGGTGGCTGCCTGAGCTAGAAGAGCCAGTGGACAGTCAGTTTTGGTACCACAGGACTGCGGTAGTGGATTTTTTCTGGCGAAGCCACTGGAGATGGCCACAACTTTGTCAGGGAGAGCCTCCTCAGTGTGGTCTTGGTCCAGCTGAAAGCTCTTAGAGGTGGTTTAATGTGGTCTCTTGCACTACAGAAAAGTCTGCCTCTGAAAATATTTCAAAATACAGCAGAGATTTTAAGCCCTCCGGATGTGATGGAGGGGCTGCTCCTGGCAGGCTTGCAGGCTTGGCCCCTGTTTAACAGGTGGAGGCTGTTCCCTGGTCCCCTCTGTCCATTGTGTTTGCAACAGGTTTGTGTGAAGTGAAACACAGTATGGCATCTTCCTCCTGTGGCTCACCTAAGCACCCTGCAAACAGCAATTTATGATTGCAGCAGCCTGAGAGACTGGTAAACAAATGTAATTCCTGCAAATAAGAAATGCTGGCAAGGCAGTGATGAACACCACAGAAATGCTTGTGTATGATTGCTTACCTTGTCTCAGGGCTAATGATTCCCACAGGTCTAAATGAATCATAGAATCATAGAATGTTTGGCATTGGAAGGGACCCCTAGAGGTCGTCTAGTCCAACCCCACTGCAGGAGCAGGGACACCGCTAACTAGATCAGCTTGCTCAGAGCCCCGTCCAACCTGGCCTTGAGTGCTTCCAGGGATGGGGCCTCCACCCCCTCTCTGGGCAACCTGTTCCAGTGTTTCACCACCCTCATTGTAAAGAATTTCTTCCTTATATCTAGTCTAAACCTACCCTGGTTTAGTTTGAAACCATTACCCCTTGTCCTGACACTGCTGGCCCTACTAAAAAGATTTTTCCCATCTTTCCTATAGGCCCCCTTTAGGTACTGAAAGGCCGCAATCAGGTCTCCCTGCAGCCTTCTCTTCTCCAGGCTGAACAAGCCCAACTCCCTCAGCCTGTCCTCAT